AAACCAGGAAGCAGGTTCTCACCGAACACTGAATCTGCCGATGTCTTGATCTTAGACTTCCCAGCCTCCATATAACTGTGAAAAATAAATGTTTGTTAAGCTACCCAGTCAATGGTATTTCTGTTGTTGCCACCCAAATGGACTAAGACAATGACAGACTGACAGATTTCTTTAAGGGTCTCATTTTTGTGGGTCTCCATTAAAATTTAGAATCTATTACATTTGATGCATATTGGTACAATTTTTGACATATGACAATCGTGAGTAATAAAGGTTACAAGTTAAAAATTACTTTAGCATTAACACTTTATTTGTGCCCTGTATGATGAAGCACTGTATTTACAAACCTCAACTTCAGTATTTACTTCAGTTCTAGTAATAAGAATGTTTCATAGCCCTGTCTTTTGCAAGTTGAGAGTGTTCTGATAAGGAAATAAATAGTTGTATTTCAAGACCATCTCAAGCTTTCTTATTCTACATGAATATTAACACAGATCTTACATAACATATGATCATACATAACACAGTCTATACATTTAGGAATGTTTCCTTCTGGAATTGTATTCAATTTTCAAATGCAAAGATATCTAGCCTGGTACCAGATGAAATGAAACATATTTTGTATATAGTAGAAACAGGGAAGAACTATACATTTCTTTGGAGTGAGACTAAATTATAGTACTGTTTGTTAAGAATTTCTGCTATGATTTATACTTAGGAAGACAGATCATTATTTTATTTCTGTTGAAACACTTTTAGATATAAATAATAAAATATAATTCTCTTGAATAATAAGAACACAGGCTTTAATGATAAGCCGAATAACTGTATTTTTTGGTCCATATGGTATAATATTAGACTGATCCACCATAATTACAGCTGACATGTCACTCAAATTAAAATAGACTAGAAAGCAGTCCTATAAAAAAAGAAGGAAAGAAAGCAGGAGAAGATCAAAATGAAATAAATAGGCCTAATATTCCACAGGATGAGCATGGTCTATCTTAAAAGTTTCCCAGCAGCTGCTATTTAATTTGTTGAATTTCCCCAAAATCTGTCCTTTAAATTGCAGTCCTTGAAATTTGATATCAATATTATCTCAGATTTAATCAGATTGAAAAACTGCTGATTTGTGCATCATGTCACAGCCAAGATTCAATCTGGAGAGAGAAACCACATGGTGAAATGGACACAGAAAGTTTAATATAGAGAATTATTAGCCATAGCAGAGCTTTGGGGTAATAACTGGTTAGTAAAAAGTAAAGAGAACTTGAAAATCATATAGCAACAGCAGATATAAAGATATAAGAAGCATGCGTAACTGCCAGGGCTGAGATAGAGTGCCCCAAGAAGAGACCCCAGAACTGAAATCAAGAGAGAGGGCCTATCAATGGCTCACAAAATTGAAGAAAAGGCATTGCAGTACTTGCACCAAAAGAACCTGCTGGAAATCTGGGGAGAGTTGTTCATAGGCAAGGGTCTCACTGGAGGCACTGGGCTACAACACCCTGTGAGCTGGCGCTGAGAGCAGCTCCTGTGCCCTGGGTGTGTTGACTGGAGAAGGCCCGGGCATGACTGCAGGAGCATCAGAACTCTGTGCCGTGCAAACGGCACCACCTGCTGCAAGAGTGGGTCCCTGGGAAGGAAAGAGCAGGTTTTCTTGGGACTTTTACTCCATGTTCATTGGTATTTCCCAATGTCCAGAGCAAGCTACCTAGGAGTCCACAAACAAGCTCAGAGAATCCACTCTCCTCAATCCTGTGCTGTTTTGCAAGACCCACCTTCCTGGTCTGTCTTCCTTCTTTTCACTTTGCAGTCTTCTGATGCTTGTTCGATAAATAATATCTAGGGTTTTTGTTTGTTTGTTTGTTTGTTTGTTTTTGGGCTTTTTTTTTTTTTGTAAGTTATACTTAGCAGGAGGAAAAAAGTCTATCTTTCCTGGGGACAAAAAGTCTATCTTTGCATTTAAAATTATTTTTCTTTTCTCTAACCAGTGCTTTTCTGATCTTTAAATTAGTGTATTGGCTCTGATTTGTTTAAAAAAAAAAAAAGATTGCCACAAGAGAATGGCACCTACATTTGTTCTTTTCTTTTCTTTTTTTAAATTTTGTTTCTAATGTTTATTGTTGAGAGAGAGAGAGAGAGACAGAGCAAGGGAGACAGAATCCAAAGCAGTCTCTGCGCTGTCAGCACAGAGCCAGATGTGGGGCATGAACTCATGAGAAGTGAGATCATGACCTGAGCTGAAGTCGGATGTTTAACCAATTGAGCCACCCAGGCGCCCACATTCATTCTTTTCCATCTTTCCTTTATTTTCTACTTTCCTCTCCCTTCCCTTTGTTCACTTCTCTACCTCCCATCCTTCACCCTTCCTTTCTCTCTCCTCTTTTTCTGCTGAATTAAGTTACTCAGAAATTATTATGTTACGAAGTAATCCAACCAATTTTTTATGGCTATCTTTTCCAACGAGAAGACCTTAATGTTTATGTTGTTTTTGAAACATAAAAGTGGCAAAGGAGTTTTGCAGTTTCAAAACATAATTGGTTAAACAATTAAAGTTTTGGCAAAAAGCACCAAAGGGTTTTCACCATCAGAAATAATTTTTATTATTTATTTTAAGCAATTCAATGTAAATGGTAGCAAAATGGTACATAGACAATAAACAGAACCGATTCCCATAGGATTACAAGGACTAGTACTGACTTTATGTTTTCTTTTGTGTGCAAGTATTTTAAAAAGGCAACAGTTTGTTAAAAGGCTTTTATAAGCATTTTCTATTCTTTAAATAACAGAAAGGCTAATAAACTATCATTATTATAGCAAGCTGCTATGAATTGTGTCAACTATTAAATTTGGACTAATGTTCATAATCAAAAATAATCATTGTAAAATTCATGAAACAAAACTTTTAGCTTTATAGGAAATATAGTCATGTCCTAGCGTAAAGTCCTAGTCTTAACAATGGTCATAATGCAAAAATACTAAACTTGAGATCTTGTGGGGAAATAGAATATTCTTAAAATCTTACATTTATTTTTAAAAATAACTGTAATGGAGTAATGAAATGGCAACTCAAAAAAGTATATCATTTTTGATATTTATGTGCAAATATAAAGTAAGTCACTTAAATTCATTATCATTCTCCATTACAGATATTAGTTCAATTCTGCCTTTAGTCTGAATAATTTACAGGTGGATGTGTCAGTTTGTCAAATATATTTCACATGTGTCTACAACATACACGCCTACATATGCATACAATTTTCGTTTTAAAATATGCTTCCAATTTTAAGTAACTTGTTATAAATTCTCCACTTTTTTATCTGATTAAAGAAAATTAAAGATAGGTTCTCTCTGTTTTAGAGGAATTCTTGGTGTTTTTGTTATTCTAAAATGACAGTAATGGAAAATACTCAAAAACAATAACAAATAAGCACTTCCTCCTCTAAGCCAAATTATACAATGGCTATAACTTATCACTTTTCATGCTAGGTTTTATATTTTCATTTCCATAGAGTTACTTGGGGGAATTTTAGGCTTTCTCTATTTTTTTTAATTCTTCCACTGTCTTTCCAATGTATGTTTCTTTACAAAAATAAGAAAATGTCTCTTTCTAGTCTTATACATCTTATTTTCTGTGGAATTAAAATTCAATGTCAAGGCCAGTCATTTTTAAAACACACAATTAGAAGAAAAATATCTTTTGAAATTTACCAATGTCTCTCTCAAGGAAAGTCTGTAACACATTCCAACTACCTGGCAAATGGTTCTCTTATGCTTTTCAGTCTGTATCTAAAAGGGAATAAAGCATTAAGATAACAGCACTGGTGTCACCAAGGATCAATTTATATTTAATTTATAATTGTCAAATTCTTCAGGATTTATAGTAAATTTCAATGGTGACAACTACCTATCTTTACACATTTTGTCCTCACAGAGTTAAAACATAGTTCCTATAGATGATTTTTCAAAATTAAACCAAAGTTTTTAACACACTGTTGTTTCATGTATGAGTATTTCAATACTCAAGGCATAAAGGAGGACTTTTAATGTTTTGAAATGTCCTTGTATTCCATAAAAAGTGTCATTTTGTCTTTTTGAATTTTAAAGTATCTTTCTAATAAGATATACTATAGAGATTACAAAAATGTGGAAGCTCAAGAGTCTAATTTAAACCATTACTACATATTTCAGTTGGTGTTTCAATGCTTGGCTTAAATTTAAATCAGCATAGATGTTTTCATTATTTCTCTGTTAGCTATTCTTTTAGGAGAACAATAAATATTTACTTTTTAATACACTTTGCTTGGCATACAATGTGTGTCGGACATAAAGTTAGCAAAAAGTTCAGGTACTTGGTATTTTTTGTTTGTTTGTTTTGGTTTCTTCAGTGTAGTAAAACATGCTATGAACATCTCAAATACTAAAATCAATATGATATCATATGAAAAGGCAACAAAAAAGGTTAAAATGACTTAAAGATTTGTACTTTAAAGCAAATTGTGAGTCTTATACAAAAGTCAGCCATACGAGTTTGTTGGTTAATCTCTGTGTAGAGAAGGCTAGACATTTATGATAAGCTCAATTTTATAAAACAGCAACTTTAAAGAATATAATATGACTATTTAAATTTTAAGAGGAGCAACAATCTTCTATGTCCATTGTGATGCACCAAATACACTTGGATTTTTCATTTACTTTCACAAAACATTAATATTTAAAAAAACTGGCTTCATACATTTGGATTATTGTCAAACAGATATCTGACTTAAATTCTGAGTTTTAATTTAGGTTTTCAAAATCATTACATTGATGACTTTCAAATATTAATAGGAGTACCAAGAAATAATACTTTTTAAATTTCAAAATAATCTATACTTCTAAGAGAATAGATTTCTTTTAATATGAGAGAATGGAATATATTCTGATCGGGTTTATTTCATGCCAGCAGCACTTATTTTCCCCTAAGATTTAGAGTTGTTTTAAGCAAGATTCTTGTAGGAAAAAAAAGGTCTCTTTTTTTTTTTTTTATCAAAGTTGAGTTTCTTCCCGAGAGTCTTGACCTGTGGTATTGCAGATGCTGTTTTTTCGACTGGGTTCACTGTTTGGAAGGTACGCCAGTGGATCTGGTCGGATTAAGTATCTAATAAAAGAAAACAAAGCAAATAACTGTAATAGTAAATAAGGGCAAAAAATTCACACTTATACTTCACACTCCTGTTTCAAAGGTATTCAGTTATTAGGTGGTCTAAACCGTGTCTAGTAGATACAGCACTGGTAGAAGGGCTCACTTTCTTTTTTAACTTATAAAATTTTGCAGGATTTGTATTATTTCTATAACTAAGATTATGATGTAAATCTGATGAATCAAGGATTACTTTTTTAGGTATGATCCATTTCACCACCTTCATCCTATCACAACTTTATGATTTATTTTAGTGTTCTATTGATTTATCATCCCTTTCTTTGGCAATTTTTCTAACAAAGAGACCTAAATCTTAGCCATGATTCTTCTATTACTTAACTGCTCTTAGTCTTACTTTCATAATTCATCAATAAATTTGATCTAAGTAATTTCTATAGTCCTTTAAATTTAAGTACTTCAGGATTCTAAAAAAGTCATGATTTAATACATGATCTGAAGAATATTGGCCAGAGATAGCTTTTTAATTATCTGGAAAATAATAAAAAACTCAAGTTATGCTATGATGAGCACTTACACAAAATAAAAAATAATTCTTAATTTATTCTACTAGTAAATGGGAAAGTGTTCATCTGCCAAACCTACATATTTCAGTAAGTTAGAATTTAAGAGAGATGTTTTACTTCAGAGTTTCAAATAACATGAAGTTTCATTTCTTGAGCACTTCTGGAATACTGCATTAAGCACTGGGAATACAAAAGGTCACAAACCCCAACCCCTGTCCTGCAGAAGATTCATAGAATTTAATTTATAAATCAGATATACACAAGAAAAATAAATTCCAAATATCACAGAAAGAGAAAAAAGAAGAGAGAGAGAATTAGGGAACACTACTGAGGATGATTTGAGCTTCTCTCTAGCCTTGTTTCTGATCTCTTCTGAAAGTGAGTTTCTTTTATGCAGAGTGGTTAAATCAGGAAATATTAGAAGGTAAATTCAGGAAGAAGAGTAGAAAACAGCTCGCAGAGGACTTTAAGTTTCAGGATAAAATAGTTTCGAACTCTATTTCAAAGGCAGTTGGGAAGCCACTGAGAGTTTGCAGGGAGAGAAGGAAAGTAAATCTGGGAAATGGCAGCATTTGAAGAAAGTCTTATTTCAGATGCAAATGAAACTAGTAATTCATAGTTTTATAATAATTTGGGAAGTACAAAAATGAACAGAAAACCTAATTTAAAGAGAAAACTAATAGAGGATTGTACTTTTCCTCTTAAAAACTGAAGAAAAAATATTCAGAAAATATGTTCCTTAATGAATATGAGAAAAGGCAATTTAAAGCACTACAGTCTATTTTCTCCGATCAAATAAAAGTTGAAATTAAGGTCCTTGAATCTATTAACCGGATATTGTTCTCCATGCACACTGCTTTATAATTACTTTAAATATCACTAGCATTGTAGATTGATGAAGAAAACTAATAGTGCACATTAAACTCTTTCTTATTTGGTAAATTGAACATGTTACAATTTGTAAATCAAAGATGTACAATATATTACTTTGATACATTTATATATTTTAACATGATTGCCATCGATGCCATATTCATCACATTACATCATTACAGTGCATCATTATTAACTGCATTCATTATACTCTACATTAGATCTCTATGGCTTATTTATTTCTTATTATAAGTTTGGATCCTTAAACACCATCAATCTCATCACTCCACTTTCCCATCCCCTGGTAACCACCTGTTTTATTACAGGTTTGACTTTTTTCTACATTCCCCATATAAGTGATATCACATAGTATTTGTCCTTCTCTGACATCTTGCTTTTATAATGTGCTCAAGATCATTCTATGTTGTTGCAAATGGCAGGATATCTTCCTTCCTCATGGCTGAATAATACCCATTGTGTATAATACCACATCTTTCTTATCCATTCATCCATTGATGGACATTTGGGTTGTTTCCATATCTTGGCTGCTGTGAATAATGCTGCAATATACATGGGTATGCATATGTCTCATCAAAACCAGTTTTCATTTCTTTTGGATAACATATCCCAAAGTGGAACTGCTGGATTATATGGTAAATCTATTTTTAATTTTTTGAAAAATTTTCATATTGTTTTCCATAGTGGTTGAACTAATTTTAATTCTTAACAACAGTGCATATAAGGGTTACCTTTTTACAACATCCTCACCAGCAAGGGTTGTCTTTTGTCTTCTTGATGATAGCCATTTCAATGGGTGTGAGGTGGTATCTCATTGTGGTATTTGCATTTCCCTGATGACTAGTGATGTTGAGCATCTTTCCATGGCATTGGTCATTTTCATACCCTCTATGCAAAATATTTAGTTTCTATTCATTTTTAATAGTATTGTTTGGGGTTTTTAAGTAAGTTTTAGCTCTTTATATATTTTGGATTTTTGGATATTATCCCTCTATCAGAGATATGGTTTATAAAAATTTTCTCCCATTCTGTAGGCTGTTGTCTCATTTTGTTGATGTTTCTTTTGTTGTGCAGAAGCTTTTGAGTGTGATGTAGTCCCAATTGTTGATTTTTACTTTCACTGTTTGTGCTTTTGGCAGTATGACCAAAATATCATTGCCAAGACTGATATCAATGAGTTTCTTCCCTTTTGTCTTCTAGAACTTCTATGATATCTGGTCTTATATTTAAGTCTCATCCATTTTGAGGTTTGTTTTTTTTTTTAGTGTTATGAGATAGAAGTTTAATTTCAGTGTTGTACATTTGCTTCTCCAGTGTCTCCTACATCATTTTTTGAAAAGACTTCTTCCCTCATTGAGTGTTCCTAGTTACTCTCTCAAATATTAGTTGATCATAAATACTAGGATTTAATTTTGGGCTCTGTATTGTATTCCATTGACATATATGTTTATGTTTGTGCCAGTACCATATTGTTTATAATACTATGGCTTTGTAGTATAGTATGAAATCAGTAAGGGTGATACTTTTGCCTTTCTCAGGATTGCTTTGGCTATTCAGGATCCTTTGAGGTTCCATATGAATTCTGGGATTATTTCTTCTAATTCTGTGAAGAATACCTTTGATATTTTAGTAGGGATTTTGTGGGGTCTGCATATAATTTTGGGTAGTGTGACCATTTTAGCAACGTTTATCTTCCAATCCACAAATGCAAGAATCTTTCCATACCTTTGTGTCTTCTTTAAGCTCTTTCAGCAAAGTTCTGTAGTTTTCTTTTTTTTTTAAGTTTATTTATTTATTTTGAGAGGAGTAGGGGCAGAAAGAGCATGAGAGAGAGAATCCCATGAAGGCTTCACACTGTCAGCATGGAGCCCAACATGTGGCTTGAACCCATGAAATGTGAGATCATGATCTGAATCGAAATCAAGAGTTGGACACTTAACCAACTGAGCGACCCAGGCACCCCAAAGTTTTGTAGTTTTTTTTTACTTTATTAAAATACTGTTTATTTCACATGTATACTTTTGTCTCCCCATCATTTCCACTTGACCACCACTACTACTATGTCCTATCATAACATTCCATACATACTTAAAAACCAAGCAGAAGGTGGAGTTCCAACTTTAAAGGCTCAACAGGCATTTTTGGACAACACATTCTTGGCAATGGAACTTGTACAACATTTATCAGACATGGTAGGGAAATTTCTCATTCTGCATTATAAAAAGGACAGTCAGATATCAACTGTTATGGAAATGAAATAAGATCAAAAATTTTAACAGACTGTTTAAACTACTTTCTTAGAGTCTTCCTCCACCACCAGGTATCTTGAATAGCCGTTTGGTCCATCATCCAGAAGCAATTCTTTACATAATTGATGAACTTGGCTTCCACTTTGGGAAGAGAACCCCCTTTTATATTTGCTTGCATTTTTGCTTTAATGTCTTCTACAGAACTAGGTTCTTTTGGTATTTTGGGAATCTTTTCCCTTTTTTTTGAAAGATTCTTGAACTTTTGATCTTGGTATTGATGGTTTTGAGTCTTTTCCATTCTGGTTTGATATCTGTGCACTTTTGGCTGGAATATCTAATAGAGATTTCTTTACTGAAGACTTTTCTTCAGCTTCCTCATCATCAAAATCATCAACATCATCGTCACCTTCATCACCATTTTCATTAGCAGCAAGTTTTACTTTTTTCTGAGGAACCTTGCTACCACTTCCAAGGGGCAGAATGCTTTCCAGATATACTAAAGAGTTTCACATCCTCTTCCTCTTCATCTTCTGATTCTGCATCTTCCTCCACAGCTACTAAGTGCTGTCCACTAATATGCACAGGCCCTGAGCCAAATTTCAATCGTAGAATCGCAGGTCGTGTTATTTCAAAGCCCCCAAGGGAAACTGTTGGCTGTACAGACATTTTCGAAATTGCCAGGGTGACTTTAATTGGACTGCCTTTGTAATTCATCACCTCTGCTTCAACAATGTGCAATTCATCCTTTGCACCAGGCTCTAAACTGACCATTCTTAATGATAACTGGTGCTCATTTTCATCATTATCCACTTTAGAGTGATAATCTTTGTCAGCCTTTAGTTCACAACCTAAAAGATAGTTCTGGGGCCTCAGAGGACTCATGTCCTTCTCCGTTGAATCTTCCATGAGGTGGTGGCATGCACTTAGGTGGGAGAGAAGGCTAGTGGAGGGAAACGACTACTGCTCCAAAGAATAACCATGCAAGACAGAATCACAGCAAGGACAAAGTTTTGTAGTTTTTATGTACAAATCTTTCACTCCTTTTGTTAAATTTATTCCTAAGTATTTTATTGTTTTTGATGCTACTGTGAATATAATAGTTTTATTTATTTTTTTGATGCTGCATCATTAGTGTAAAGAAATGCCACTGATTTCTGTAAGTTGATGTTATAATCTCTCACATTACTGAAATCATTAATTCCAAAAGGTTTTTGATTGACTCTTTGGAATTTTCTTTATATAAGATCATATCTTCTGCAAATGGTGACAATTATATTTCTTCCTCCTGATTTGGATATTTTTTATTTCTTTGTCTTGTCTAAATACTCTAGGTAGGACCTCCAATACTATACTGAATGGAAATATTAAGAGTGGGCAACCTTGGCAACCTGACATCAGAGGAAACTTTTTCAGTTTTTCTCATTTATATGTTAACAATGAGTTTATTGTATATGGCTTTTATTATATTGAGGTATGTTCCTTATATACCCAATCTGTTAAGGGTTATTATCATAAAAGGATGTTGTATTTTGTCAAGTTCCTCTTCTGCATCTACTGCAATGATGATCATGTTATATTTATGTTTCATTTTATTAATGTGATGAATTACATTTATTGATTTGCATATATTGAACCATCTTGGCATTCTGAGGATAAATTCTGCTTGGCCATGGTGCATATTATTTATAATTTGTTCTTAAATTCGGTTTACATCTATATTCATCAGGGATACTGATCTATAGTTTTCTTTTCATGTGATACCCTTATCTGGTTTTGGTATCCAGGTAACACATGCTTCATAGAATAAGTTTGGAAGTGTCCCCTCTCCATTGATATTTTGGAAGAGTTTGAGGAGGATTAGTATTAATTCTTCATTAAATATTTGGTAGAATTCACCATTAAAGCCATCTGTCTGTGGAGTTTTCTGCATTACAATTTTTATTATTATTATTTTAATTTTTTAACATTACTTATTTTCAGAGATAGGGACAGAGCATGAGTGGGGAAGGAGCAGAGAGGGAGACACCAAATCTGAAGCAGGATCCAGTCTCCAAGCTATCAGCTCAGTGCCTGATGTGGGGCTTGAAGTCACAAACTGTGAGATCATGACCTGAGCTAAAGTTGGATGTTTAACCGACTGAGCCACCCAGGTGCCCCAATTTTTATTATTATCAATCTCTTAACTCATTATTGGTCTGTTCAGATTTTCTATTTCTTCCTCATTCAGTCTTGGTAAGTTGTGTGTTTCTAGAAATGAGATCTAGAGATCTTTCTAAATTCTTTTTTTTTTTTTAATGTTTATTTAGTTTTGAGAGAGAAAGACACAGAGTGTGAGTGGGGGAGGGTCAGACAGAGAGGGAGACAAAGAATCCGAAGCAGGATCCAGGGTCTGAGCTGTCAGCACAGAACCTGACGCAGGGCTTGAACCCACAAACTGTGGGATCATGACCTGAGCTAAAGTCGGCTGCTTAACCAACTGAGCCACCCAGGTGCTCCTCTAAATTCTTAATATATACATTTTGGGCTATAAACTTTCCTTTTAGAACTGCTTTGGCTGCATCCCACAAAATTCGATATTTTGTATTTTCATTTTCATTTATTTCAAGAACATTAAGCTGTTTAACACTAATCACCTCATTACTTATTATTCTTTGAATCAAACTAATGTTGCCCCATTATTTAAAATAAACCCTTGAAAACAATTTTTTAGAAAAACAAAAGGCATGAGTATAATTCATTATCCCCTAAATTCATTGATATAGCTGCAAAAGTTTCTTTCCTTTATTACTACTACTACTACTAAACCTATGCGTCTAATGAAATAAATTTCTTAAACATGTTTTTTGTAATTCTTGTAATGGTGGCATTTTTTTCATATTTATCATTGCTCCAGTTACAGTAAAACAATTATTTTAATGGCCAAAAATACAGATCATTGCAAAAAAGGTGTTTTTTTTATGGCAATCAAACATGTCTTAGCTTTAAGCAAATAAAAAAATAATAGTATCCATATGGCAGAAAATGTCATGTTTATTTTATCTCTAAAATACATATTATAATATACATATTTTAATTGTAAGTTTAAATTTGGGGGAATTATTTCAAATTATAAATGTCTATTCAATGAGAAGTCATGTTTATAGACTTAAGGGGTGAATAATACTCCCATTCCATCAAAAATAGTCATGGGAAATAATTATTTTAGGTTCAAAAACTTATAACTTATGAAACGTGAATAAGGTAAGTATAACTTCTTAAAAACACTATATCATCAATATAATTATAACTAATTTGAAAAAGAGGCATAAAAAGATTAGGACTACAGAGTAGATGGAAAATTAATAAAAATACAGGTTTAAAGGAAGAAAGGTATATATGAATATGGACAGAAGAAAGCAGAGCAGTTTTTTTTATTATAGTAATATACCAAGTAAAGTCTCCAGAATGGGCACTTTAAAAGTAGATGCATCATAAATAAGATATTTCCATGTAACTTAAGGTCCTCCATAAATTCAACATCACCACTGGACATAATTTTTGATAGCTGCCTTAGGAACTCTAGCAGGTGAAATCATCATTCATCTCATTCCCCAAGTCTCTTATATTCGAACCAGCATCATCAGATGACAGAATAAAGCATTATACTAATTAGTTGTTTCTGAGGTGCATTATAAATGGTTTTCACAGTGATTTGGGGTCAGAGTAACTCCTGCTGATGTATTTTCCTGAGAAGTTTTTGAAACACACTTATCTATCTATCCTAAAATCATTATCTTTTTAGCTTTATTCATCTGGAAGATGAAAAATAAGTATTTTCTACATAGAACTAGCTTCTCTTCAAGGTTCTGGTACTATATTTCTATATGCTTTCTAGACATTTTCATCTAGCACACTGAATGATATATCTAACTCTAGCATGTCTTCTCTCTCTCTTTTTTTGTATGTTTATACCAGCTTTATTCATAGTAGAAAATTCATCATTTCTTTTTTTCTCCACAGCCAACAATGCCCCTTTTCCTTCCTAGAAAATTGCTTCCCTATTCTGACTTGCTTTAGTGAATGAGCATCTATTTATTTATTTTTCAATCACATAGAATTGCCACGTTATACTCCTTTTCCAATTCCCACATCAATAAACAAGTCTTACTCTTTGCCTTCATAAATGTATCTACATAGAAGCCTGCTTTTACAATCCATTATCCTAATGCTTCCAGAGTTTCTTATCTCCTTCACACCTGCCTAACAGCAATTTTACTGGTTTCCCAATTTTCATGTCTATTCAACCTTAAGCCATCCTGCTAATCAATCTACTGCTTCTTGCAATGCTCTTTAAAAAAAAAAAAAAGCACCCTTTCCACCTCAGGTGGAAATTTCCTAATTTCACTGCCATTTCATAATCCTGTGATTATAGATATAAACACAACCTGTGGACCTAACACCTGCTGAGACTTTTGGACCTTTGGTATTTGTATTACATCAGTAATGCAACCTGGAGTTAGCTACCTTAGCTCAGGGACCATGGACTTCAAGGGCAGATGCACATTAGGAATTTCTCCCTTAGGCTGACACCATTAACTGTCGAAATGCTTTTCTAAAATCTTGCAACTTTCTTGTTCATATATATAAGTACTGTTCCTTGCCTATAAGGCTTAAATTGAACTTAAACTCCATACTTTTCACCTAAAGTCTTTCCAGAGTACAGTTTAATGTTTGATTCCAGTAGTATGTTTAATTAACAACAGAGAAGCATATTATGGAATCCCCATGTAGTGCATTTTCTCTAGCCATGTCCCTGTTCTGGAATCTCTTGTGCTCTCCACCTACACAAATTTTATCTACTTTTCAAAGTCTAGTTCAACTCTTTATGTCCTCTGTAATCACTGTAATTCACAATAGTGTCTTCCTCTTTGAAATTAGAAAAGCACTGTCTCACTCGGTGGGTGCTTAATTCATTAGTAACAAAGCCATATTATATATTGCTATTAAATTTTTTATGTTTAAATTGCAGTTTTGTTAATTAGAATGCAAGCACTTTGAAATCAGGAAAAATATTTCATCTCTATATTGCACTTTTAAGGACACACTAATGCAATTGTCCATGCATAATACAGAGTTTTTGATTAATCAAATTAGTGCCATACACCTTTTCTTAATAAGTCTTTTGACATTATACGCAGAGCTTTTGAAAATGCTATTTAAAAGGAGATAGTGTGAGGTATATCAAGTTTTCCTGAGCTGTTCTCTTATTATTCTACATATTTTTTCTTATTTGTCCAAATATATATGAGTTCAAAGAATACAGAATTCCTCTGTGCTTTCCTTCTTTTATGGCTCTACCTTCTACAATTTTTTATAGTATTACACATAGAAATACATAAAATACATTTGTTTATTGAACACAAAAATTAGACTTGGAGTTTCTAAGCATTTACGACACAAGAAATAAGGGACTGTAATGGTGAAAACAAAAATATAAAATAAATAAATTATTAGTTTTCTAAAAATAAATGCCTTATGTGAGATATGCAATCAACTTACACAACATCATTCAGCTCTAGTCTGGTATCTGGAGACGGGTTAATCAGGATGTAGGAGAGGGTACTTTGATGATCATTCATTTCATCTAGAAGATAAATAAATGCCAAGTTTGTTATACTACTTACAGAAAATTACAGGAATTACTGTAGAGCATCTAATCTTCAAACCACATAGCTGTCAACGAGAGCTTGCAATAGTTCTGTCCACATCATGATTGTGTACATAACTTTAACTATTTTCAAATTACTGCCATTGGAAATATCTGACAGGTACTCATTTTTTGTTCCAACAGATGATGAAAATAAAGTATCGAATTCTGTTCAGAACAACTACAGTTATATTCTACCCTTTTTAAGCTATTACACTGAAAAAGTCTTTCTATTAAAAAAAATAGCCAGATAAAATGTTTACTAGTTTATTATGCCTTATTCATTTTAAAAACTAATTGTGGTTCTAGATAGCCATCCCAGATATGAACATTCACATGAGTAATTCTGTGAAAAACCATCTGATATCATTCTGTTTAGAAAACACAACAGAGGGTGCCTAGCTGGCTCATTCAGTTAAGTGTCCAACCCTTGTCTTTGGCTCAGGTTGTGATCTCACGGTTCTTGAGGCAACACCCTGCATCAGAGGCTCTATGTAGAGTCTCTTGGGATTTTCTCTCTCCTTCTCTCTCTGGCCCTCCCTTGCTTGCACACTCACTCTCTCTCTTGCAAAATAAAAAAAAAAATGAACATTAAAAAAGACACAATAGAAATGTATCTAAAAAAGTTGAAGGCTCTAAATATGTTTGACTTTGTTATAGGATATACCTGATATAATGTTTTTGCAAAATTAAAAGAATCTTGTAAAACAGAATTAACTGTAAGTTTCAAGGATGTGTGCTACTAAATTATTTTTTTTCTAAAACAGTGTGTAGTTTTAAAATTCACTCTGAAGACATTGTCAGCCTTCAAGTTTGGAGAGAAAACTTAAATTATATTGGGCACTTAAAAATTAAACAGCTTTGAGATCTCAATTTCTCTCTGCCAAAGCTATGATAAGACATAAATGTAAAGCCATGTGGACACACATGTCAATAAACATCAATACAATTTTAGGCTGTAAGGATACTGTTCAGAATCCTGCACTAGAGCCAGAGTATCCTTCTAGCCACTTCAGTTTCAGGTAAGGTTGGTTCCTGAAAAAAAAGTACTAAGTTTTGTAGTTTGATTGAAAATCTAAGAATATATTTCATACCAATAGAGATATATCAATATATGAATGTGCCAAGTAAAAGTCTTTTTTAGGCCAACATATTTGACTCTAATAATTTCCTGCACTGGAACATATGTATCATTTTTATTAAATAATGTCTATCATTGTATTCATGAAACTAGAAGCCTATCACTCTAATGAGCAAAATTTAATATTTGCAGTTATAATAGTTCAAGTTGATATGCAGATTTGCTCTACTTTTAAAGTCTATAAGTGAACATCTTTATCTTACAAGGACAATAAACTGCAGTGTAACTGAACTCGCCATAAGTTCGCCAATAAAACTATTATAATCATAAGATCATAACATGTGTATGTTAAAAGGGAACATATTTGGTTGCATGTCTCTGGAGTGGACACAAGGAATTGTATCCTGGCATAGGGATAGGGTTGTCAGGCCAAATAGAGAATGCTTGGTAAAATCTGAATTTCAGATGAAAACTAGTAATTTTTTGACACACATGTGTCCCAAATATTGTTTGTGACGTACTTATACCAAAACATTTATTTGTTATCCAAAATTCAAATTTAACTGGAAATCCTGTATTTTTCATTTGCCAAAACTGTCAGTTATACCTACAGGTGGATGGCTAACTCAACCAGTTGGAGCTTGCAAATCCAAAGAATATATGATGTTGAGCTTACTTCAAATTAGGTATAATTCCAACTCAAAACATCTTGTACTGGCAGGAGATAACCAAGATCCTTTTTCTATATAGAAAGCAATTTTGATTTATCTATGCTTTTTAAGAAACTTTCCCTTTGTGTGAATTTCCACAGGTGCTATACAAAGGAACAGACTGATAGTACATTCTGGAGAATGAAACATGGATGCTCTAAAATGTAACCAGTCTACTAGAAAATCTCCATCTCATTTGGTTATGTATACCTCAATTTCTTATATAAACAGTGGCATTATTTAAATTTTTCATATAAACAATGAATATTATTGAATGATGGCATTAGAGGAAAAATAATTTTAACAAATAACTTCTCAGTCCATATCAATCCTCAACCTCTCCTTGATTATTAAGACAATGTTGTACTCATTTATTATCTGGAATGAAGTCAAGATATATTGGTGACTTGGTTTGCCTGTTATAAGTGTAAAAACTGTGTAGATAGCAGAGAACTTTATAGCAGTAGATAAAACTATTGTGTTGATTTTTTTCTGTTCAAGTAGTCTTATTTATCATTCTGAAGATTTTCATTTTCCCATGCACTCCAGAAATTGAAGGAAATGTTTGACTAATGTGCTCAATTCAGTAATCCCATATGATTTATATCAAGACATGGGTAACACATCAGAGCTCATCATTCCTGGTTTCTTTCCTCACCCAACCCTTGCTGACTTCCTAGGTTAAAAGAAGTTGAGTTCAAAGCCATTTCTGTCTTGTTGTAGAGTTGATTCTGGTCTGCTTTTTCTCTGTCATGCTGCTTTTTTGGGAAGTCCTACATTTCATTCTCCTTTCTTTGTAACTCTGTGGTTGAGAATTAGGAACCGAGGTTTTAAAAGCCTGTTGTGGTCACATATCAAAACCACATTCAGTGATTTAGCTGTTCAGCTAAAGAGTTCAAGCCACGTGTTGGTCTCTGTGCTAACAGCTCAGAGCCTGGAGCCTGCTTCAGATTCTGTGCCTTCTTGTCTCTCTGCTCCTCCCCTGCACGTGTGCTCTTTCTCTCAAAACAAATAAGCATTAAAAAAAAAAAAGGAAATCTAGCTTTCTCAGTTACTCATGCTGAGACCTCCTTAGGCAAGTTACTTAATTTCTTTTAATCTTTTGTGCTCAGTTTCCTCACCTGTAAAATGGAAGGGAACAATAGTGTTATCTCATAGGCTATTGTTAGAATTGAATTATAAATAAATAGCTAACATAATGTAAAGTTAATATATTAATATGAATGTATAGTTCTTAGAATAGTGTGTGATTTTATCAAGTGCTATATAAAGTTTTCCTATTATTACTGTGCAGGCAAAAATCAATCTACAACCTATAAGCAATAACGGTATAGATATTACAATATGAAGGTGTTCGCATACAAAGACAGGGAAAAAAAAGTATTCACAGAGAACAGCAATGGGAAAGACTGCGATGGTTGAGTTTAAATTTCAGAAAACAGGCACTGGACTGAAGTAAGCAAGAAGATTAACTGGGGTCAATGTTGAAAAGTCAAGCTAGGACCAGATCCCATAGCACTTTATAGATGTTCATCAGAAGCTCGACTTTTATTCTAAAAACAATGAGAAACCACAGAAGTGTTATTAGGGTGGGAGATTTAGTGGTATGATCTAATTTCCTATTGAATATATTACATTCCTTGGCTGCTTTGTGGGAAATGGACTTTAGGGCCTCAAATCTGGTCTCAAGAAGAGTAGGCAGACAGTACAGAAGCCCAGGTGAAAGATGATGGTTTGGGAGAAATGGCAATGGAGGAAATTTGGAAGAAGGGAAGAAAAAATAGCTAGTGAGCCTGAAAGAGTGGGGAGAGTCGTGTAGGGGTAGGAAAGATGGGAGAAAGAGGGAGGGAAGGAGAGACTGAGATTGTTTTAGATGGGAGACAACATAAATGGATGCTGATGAAAAAAAGCAAACAAAGATGAAAAAACTGATATTGTTTCAGAGTGAGGGTATGTTTTTCTTCAGTCACTATAAGAAACCTCATTGAGGAAAATACTCTCAGTTGCACAGTGCTTATTTATTCTATACAGTCCAATAATACAAATAATCAGTAATAGGATAACCCAATGATGACTTCATTTTCCCACCTCTAAACTGCTAAACACATTATGTGTTATCCAACTATAAAACTGGCTAGTTTTATAATGCTGACCTAATTTGCTCACTTGTTTCAGTTTAGTACCAAGCTATGCTTATGAGTACAACTCTTTTGTCAATTTTACTGAACTTACCAGTCTATTTTAGGGGGAAAAGATGGTTAGAAATAAGGATAAAAGAATCCTTCTGTTTAATTACCTCTATTTCAAGTAATTTTCATTACCTTCCAGTAATTTAGAATTATTTTATGATATATAAGATAAAAATCAGGACTTTCACAACCTCTCTTCATATAAACCATTAAGAAATAAAGATTAGATGAAACTATTAGTAAAACAAGTAGCATGATGTAAAGCCAAGTTTCAGAAATTCTTCAGTTCCAATTCTACTATGAGCCACTCCATCACCTGCTAGCTTCAGACACAAAACTAATTACTTTAGACTCAATTTTCCTTTTAAAATACAGTATGAAATATTTCCTAACCTTTTAAAATCTATTATCTTTTATAAATATTAAAAGACCAAAACCCCTATTTTATCACTATTTTTTTAATTGATAGAGAATTAAAAAACAAAAATAATGAAAGTAAAAGTGAGTAATGTTTCTAAGAACATATTTTTTCAATGTGTAAAGTCGTTTTGTTTTGCTAAAATGCTTTCTCCACTGCATGCGCCTTTCCCCCACCCCCATCAAGTACTGACTTTCAGAGTTATTGCGGGTCCCTGGGGAATGGGAGCTTCTCAATAAATGCTCATTTCTTACAATACTCTGATAACAGATATTCTGTATTAAGTGATGTGGGCCAAAATAATACAGGTTGTCTGCAAAGTCAGGAGTATAGGTACACCCATTTTTAAATAGAACATTAATTACATTTTCAAATGTGTTAGGTATGTTTTCAGGTGAAGTACTTCTAAATTTAAAACTATGACTCTAGTTGATCATCTTAAAAAGTAGAATAAATATACCACAGAAAATCTAAAGATTCGGAAAGAATATATTTATTTTTTTCTTCATTTTAACAATTGACCACACTGTTTTAAATTT